TGTCAATGCATCCAACATCTAACATACTGAACATATACATAGACTTCTAAATGGCTTGTTGTTCTTTAAAAACTGAATATAAACAAAATTATGGATGAGGAATTGCAACAGAGTAGAGAGACTTTTCAATTTGACATGACAGACAGCTACATCATTTTGCAAGCTTTGGTTGAAATGCAGAGTGCTTGGGATTTGTCTTTTCATATGAAATTCCAAGTTAGTCAAAGCTTTGCGGCCTGCATAAGAAATTCCTCTGTGTGACCTGTTTTCAGCCACTAGATGTCTCTGCCACACTGTACAAAATCCAAATCTGCATTTATCCACACTTGCTGATCAATAAGTGAAAGGATATCACTCATTGACTGTCATGCTGCTGCATTCACACTCTATGATCAGTTTACAAATTATAAGACACATGAATGACAACGCAAATCTGCAGTAAAAATATTATCTCTGCAACACCGGGAGCTTTTCTAAGGTGAACACAAAAGCAGTGGGTTTATCTTAATTTCATCCTGTCAGTTGAATTCTCCTTGAGGTCTGAACTAAACGTGAAGTCTTTCTCTGGAAGATGCTGCATCTGAGCTTCTCATCTGTGGCTCGGTCTTGCGTAGGCGTGTTACTTGTGTAGTTTTAACATTTCCTCCAGGTCTCATAGAGAAGGAAGGACAAGTGCATCTGGCACCAAGGAAAGCCATAAACGATCTCTGCTAAAAACTAAAGCTATACTGCATGGAGCATGGTTACCTGCTTATTCCCAGTGTTCAGTTGGAGAGCTGTTAAAATAGTCAGGTGCTACAAGAGAAAGCAACACTGAGAGTGTTCAAGAGCATTTCAGCTGCACGAGTGGAGTGACTGAATACGAAGCTCAATTGGCTCCGTCAGTTTGATTGGCTAAAGCAGACACTAGATGCACAAATTACACAGAGTTGTGCAAATGTTCAAAATGGATTATGGCAAAGTGCACCAAACCTATCTGTCTATCTACCTATATTTTCTGCGCAAGTGAATAAATGTTTAGTTTTACGTATTTTGCATATTCAGAACCAAGCACTGCACTGCATTTGATTCCAAGACAAATGCTTTGAGAGAGATGCTTCAGCGGAAATGGAAAATGCTCTGTTTCATCTCTTTCCCCTGCCACTCCAGCCCTTTCTTCAGTAAAATTTGATCTAATTTTCTTTCCCGTCCTTGGGTATTTCCCCACAGAAATGAAGGGATAGTGATTGCTGGGTAAGATTGGAGTGGATCTAATCTTCCACTGCTCTCAGTCATACTCCATTTCACTGCACATCTAATTTGTCACACTGCTGATGAATATGCCACAAGTTTCATGGGAAAGAGAAGGACATAATGAATATAAAACACACTGGGAGAGGGGAGAAGTAATTGCCGAACCGCACTAACCACAGTGCATTGTTCATTTGTCCCATCAAATTGCTGACACTATGCATGCACTATGGATACATTGCTTTCTTCCCTCAGAATTTGATCAAGAGGTTAAAACAATGACAAACAATGGTGGGTCTGTTGCTCGCCTGCAGATTGGAAGCAGAAGCTCTATTGTCATTTATGATCACTGACTTCACGGTCACTCTGCTTTCCCAAGGAGGACAGGCAGAACCCTTCAACGCTGTGCAAATGAGTGTGCTTTTGGAGGTCTGTGGCATTTATTGCCCATATTTGTGAGACATTCTGAGCGTTGCAGGCAGATGTCTTTTATAGACATGCAAGCGGTTTATACGGCAGCATTTCAAAGCAGAAGGTCCCATAACGTTGTATCTGATGGCTAAATTGTATCGCCGTTTCACTACAAGTTTTAAAAAGCAGCAACATTGAATTAAAAAAAAAAACAAAAAAAAAACACAAGCAGATGGTATGAATTGCATCTGCATAATGATATTCTAATTTCGTCATTATTCATTATTGCTCCGGTTGTGATTGTCAGGGCGGTGATACACTCGGCAGCAGTCCAAGCAACAGGCAACAAAGTGAATAGACAGGGTCAAAAATCTGTTCAAATGTTTCCTGGCAACAGGATGTTTCTGTGTGTTGAAAGCAGTAATTCCATCCAAATTGCTTTTAAAAGTTGCCCACTACATAACTGCAGCTGTGTAACTGTGGCAGAAAGACTCAGGGAGAGACTGATTTCTAAACAGACCATATGGACGGATTCGAAACTGTTGCGTTCAGTTTGTCATGCTCGTGTTTTAAATCCATTGATGAGTCGAGAGTGAATGTCTCTTTAAAGAAGGAGATGATAGAATCTTGTGTGCAGAGCTGCTGCATCACCTATCCATGAGACTGGAGAGCGGCTGATGAGAAAGCCCTTCAGGACTCTTCTCTAAATAGGCATGAAATTATATCTCCCTCTGACTGAGATTAGCGTCCATGGAGCCTCTCGCGTTCTGCCCCCTCTTTTCCTCAGGCTCTCAAACCAAACAGTCACTTTGCAGTTTCAGCTCGTTTGTGCTGAAGTTTAAGAAAGTTCATTTTCATCAGGAGGTGCTCTCTGTGTCCTTCAGCTTCCTTCATGGGTCCTGCAGGATTTGTCACGCATGCTGAGGGTGTGTGGAAAAACCATAGCAGTGTTATGCTCTAATGATTGGTGCTTAACAGAGTGCTTATTTTTGTCATTCACTGGAAAAGATGGGATGTTAGTTTCAGGACTTGTAATGCATTGTACAGAACTTACTGATAAATCTTTTGGAGTCATCTGTTTCAAAAAGAAAGCTAATAAGAAACATAGTATAAGAAACAATGCATTGACAAACTTAAATTGTGGAATTCACTTGATGCAGAGGAAAGTTGTGCACAGTTACTGCAAGGAAACCTTTAAATGGCATATTCTGACATTTAAGCATATAGTGACCATATAGGAGCAGAGCAGATATATATATATATATGTATATAGTCAGGATATTCTGCTGACTGTATATAAAGATGGACGAACCCTCTGTGATCCATATGTTATCTACAGAGTGGTTTTGAAGCTCAGTGTGGGGGCTCCAGCCATTCTTGACTAATGCCTGACTCTGCCTAATCCCAGGTGAAATCAAAAAGGAGCAAAGAGGTGTAGCTCCTTCACCTGTCACTCAAAGTGGCCACGCCCTTAATTATGCATCATTGTATGGATTAGTACAATTTAAAGAAGTGAGTTCTGTAAAAATGTACACCTCCTACAATGCATGTTGGAATTATCTATAGAGACCAAAATAGCGTTTTTGTTCCAGTCTGGAAACATGTTTATTTCTGCTCTAAAGATGGACACTTCAGCATGGAAGTCTATGTGGATTGATTCGCTTTTGGAGCCAACCTCTAGTGGTGATTTAGAGGACTGCAGCTTTTGGTACTCCCATGTCAGCTTCACTGTTCCCCTCAGAAGTTGTCGCTTGGTAGCAGAACTCCAGGTGAGTGAGATTTTAGAGGAGATCTGTTAAATAGTGAACTCGACTAGTGCAGATGAAGCCTGTCTAGTCAGAGGTAGTTTCGGGAAAACACTTGACGGCTCCAAAAGCTCAAACTGAAAGGTTCCATATTGGCTCGCTCACCACCAAGACAAACATTATATGAACAGAAAGGAAGCAAAGCCATTTCATCATCCAGTCAGTTTGAGTCCCCTGTTAGTCTCATATGACAGACACTCTTTTCATAGCACATGTATCCAATGCATCTTCCTCTGTGTGGTGGCTGTGATCGATAGTTTTATGTATCAGATGACAATGCATAATGTGACAGAGGTGGTGATGCACCCACATTTAATAATAATCATTCTGATCTTACAGTTTCCCTCACACGGCGAGGCTACACAGCTTCTTTGAGCTCATTCTTTTAGATTTCTAACCTGTACCTTTTCTGTTTCAGTTTGCTTTAATAGCCTCATTTAAAGAAAGCAGGAAATTCTGCACCCAAAACCAAACAGCACGAAGAAATAGTTAGGTAGTGAATCAGAGCCAGATAAACCCCTCAGTGGACAGATGAGACTAAAGCAAAGCTGAAAGGGAGAGTGACTCTATGGACATTGTTCAGGCAGCTAAAAACACGGTTCCAAATAATCAGTGGGATGTGTAAATAAGCAGCTGTTCTCTGGTAGCTGTGCTCTGGCTGCTATTTTGCTGTCACACTGCTAACCTGAAAGCTGTCACTTGCTACTATTGTTGCTGCTGTTGTTCATTTCCCATTTTATATGCAGTTTAGTGCCACCTCCACTCCTGCATCCACTGGTAGGCTCTGCATTCTCAAAGACGGAATTTATCACACATTAGGAAGTCAGATTTCTTGGGTCAAAGTATAAAGATCTGAATCACGTAGTTGGAAAGCGCCCGGATTAGAAAGAAGGAGTTTCATATTCAGTTGGAGCACTGAAGCTGCAACATGCAAATACTTGGAAGCTGACGCCAAATGTTTGGGATGATGGCAACCCAAGGACTGACCTCTTTTCATTTTTTCATTTGCTGGGGAAATTAGAAATGCTAATAGCCCTGGATATTGTTGTGGTGTCACGATTGACATATTTACTGTCGAATTTGCGGTCTGGTTTGAAGGAGTGGTGATGAAGGGAAACAGCAATCCAGAAAAAGCAGCACAAGCCTTTCAGAAAACACACTCCATGCCTTTGTCACACAACAGCACACTGACACATTGGCAAATAGCTGGAAGGTCAAGGCAGTTTGTTATTCTCTCTTCTTGTGATTTGAGGTTTTTTGAGGAGACCTACTAGCATGTTCCCAAACATCTTTAACAGCCAGAGCATAAAGCTTATCTAACAAACGGGGGGTAAAACCGTCCTCCGTTTTCATCAGCTTCCATCCATTAAACAGCTAATTTGGCAGTTTGATGACAGACAAACCAGCGTCAATAAGTCAAGAGACATTTCTCTGGATGTTTTGGGGCAACTGATGGGGAAGAATGTCGACTGAAAGGACGTTAAATTGGTAGATGTTGATGCAGATCTGCAAATTATGATGGATCCAAATGAGTGAAACAAGAGCAAAGCAACATATTTCATACCATATGCCAGATATGATAAATATTTTATTTCTGATCAGCAAAAGACACACAATTGATGCATTTGTATCTTTCATGACTTTTCAGTACAGAGGAGAAACCCAAACATATACACAGTATGGGCATATATGTATATGGGTATATTTTAAAGTGCAAGTGATTCACAAGGGTCAATCATGCGTTACATAGCATCGGTATCAGGAACTTCAGTAATCTCCTAATATCTGCAATAACTTTTTGAATCTGATAGTAAAATAACTGTCACTTATATATGAATACAAAATAAACTTTACTAGTCACTGAAGCTTTTTGATTTTGTTTAAGCACGACAACATTTATCAATCTATTTCAAGTCTTGAGAGGAAAGAGTACCATGAAGTGCCAGAAGTGAGGGAGATTTTAGTCTCTAGTATTGACAGGAACAGTTTCACAAAACTCACCATGGGTCAATTTAACAATACTCCAGTACCACCTTAAGCACCCTAAAGTTGAATTAAAATCTAAAACAGAAAGAAATCAAATACTTTTCTTACTTTGTTTTTCTTTTTTTTTTTACCTAATCGCCTTCATTGGTCACCTAACTTGGGCATGTCGAAAGAGACATTCAGTATACAGGTACATTCTCCAAAATTACCGTTACATTTTTACTTGGTGAGGAAACAGTCAATTTGCCCTTGCCAAATATATTTGACACGAGGAATGTTCATAGAAAATAAATATGAAGACATGGATAGACATTAAAATGCAAGTGTGGACTGATGCTGAGCTCACTGTGTGTTGACGGGTCAGAGCGGCCACAGTAGAGGGGCATCCGGACAGCATCATACAGGGTAGTAACAGTTTAGCAGCAGCTGTTGGGTTTTGGATTTACCCATGGACAACAAAGATACAGACATATGTATCAATAGTACATGAAGAAGCCCTGACCCTTCAGGATGCAAAGTATTCAAACTTATCTCCATTCACTGGGTAAATAAAATATGCCTCAGTTGCACATGTACTGAATGTTTCAATGCCCTTTATAGTGGTTAAGATGCAAAGTGCATATTTAACATAAAATATAAGCTAGGATATACTACAGTGTGACTATAGCTCTTAACTTCCCAAGTGATTCCTTCAGAACAGCTGTCCTTTCGCACCACATGACACAAAAGAAATGATCGCATTCACAGAACAAAAGGAACGCCGGTTTACAAAAAAACACAGAAACAGAAAGCATCATAGAGGAGCAATGCCTTCACACTGGGAGTGCAGTATGAGAGCACACATGCTGCTGCTTTATTCACACAGCATCAGCTGGCACTGAATGAAATAAAGGTCAATTTCTGTGTTGCTGTGAATCCTTTGTGTGTGATTATTGCATAGTTTGGAATTCTTAACATAGCTATTAAACTGACACTGAAAAATAAAACTTCTCATTTTCTGGTCTGCGCTTCGCTCTTAGAAATCCAGGACAATATATAAATTCACCATTTGTCACAAACAGGGCTGGGTTCAGCTCCTTTCTTGCAGGTAAGGTGAAAAAATCTGACAATTATTTCTTATAGTTTTTGTAATAAAACAATTTTAGGGTGACCAATTTGCAAGATTTGGATTTTCAAGAATTGGACTTAGTTGAATTGGATAATTTCATTATTATAATAGTGAACTGAACCCAGTCCTGGTGCAAAGTTAACCCCCATACTGTTTTTTTAATGTGCACAAATATATGCAATTTATTCTAAACTTACTTAATTTACTAACTTAAGCCATTGATTATCCCATTGAAGTTCATGGTGCCAAACCACTGTCTATCAACTAGGTACGGCTGAAAGCAAACACCAGCATGAAGACTGTTCTCAGTGACTATGACTCTGTACTAATCTACCGATTCTGAATGATTGTCTTGATCCCTGAAGGCCATGAAACGAGCTTTGGAAAGAAAATTGCAGAAAGGATAAAGTCTACTGGGCCTTTTCATTGCGACATCTCCTCATACTTACAAACTATAACAGCCTAAAGCTGCTTTAAATGGATCCATCTAACTGAACAATAAAGAACAAAGCAACCAAAACAGCAAAGTTGCATCACGTTTCTGTAACAGCTATATTTCAGTTTCTTTACACACATCTACCTGCTGCTTGTTTGAAGCTTAATGCCAATGTAGTCTTATCATAAAACATCAAACATATTTTTATTCAGTTTCTAACTCTGAGTGACGTGGTCCAACGTCAATCAGATATTTAGAATGTATTTACGATAGATTAGATATCACATTATTCTTTTGCATTCTTGCTGCAACCATCAAAAAACGTCCCTAAAGTGGCACTTGATGCTGGTGTTTGCTTTCCTGTCGTTATACCTGGTCAGTCCTCCATAATGTGCACAAACCTCCAGCACTGAACATCTAGCAGCTGCAATGACAATCCTTTTCTTTTCTTTTCTTTTTTAAACCAGAAAGCGTGTCAAAACCAAGCTAACATTTTGTTGTGGTCCCTTGTAACACCCATAAAGTAGATCACCTGACCTGAATGACCAACCTTGTTCCCCTATGGCCAGCACAGAGTCATGACATGGGTCCCATTCAGTCACCAGAGTGTCAGCTCACTTTTTTTTTTCTTTTTTCTTTTTTTTTTTTGGCATAGAGCTCATGTTCAAATAGGAGCCATGACTGAACTGCTATTTCTTTTTTCTTTTTTTTTCTTTTTTAAATCTGTAAACTAATTAAAACTACAATAATGCATTAAAATAAAAAAAAAAATTAAATAATAAAGTAGGAAAATAAATATCATTCCAACAAGGCTTTTTTTTGTTGTTTTTAAATAGTCATTCTCCATCTTGACACTGGAAGCCAGTGTGTATGTCACATGATTCACCTCAGAGAATGATGATCATCAGTCCAAGAAGATGGCTGCTCTCAGTCTCATCGGTGAACGTGCTAATCAGCTGCTGCACATACACGACTGCTTCACACTCAGTTAAGAACATGGATACAGATCCCACTAAACATGGTCCCACATATACTGTAGAGCTCAACAGTCTTATGCATTGCAAGTGTCTGGATACAAGATATGCAAAAAAAAAAAAAAAAGGACTTTTTCTGATAGACTTGGCCATGACCTGGACAATCCTTATGTGCAGGATAATGATTTGAAACACATGACCATGGCTACATCTGCCATCAGAAAAAAAAAATTATAAGTGCTATAGCTTTACAGAATTTTGGTATTTCATGAATAGCATTCAGGGCAGTTTGAAGTTTTTTGGTCAGTTTAAGGTAACCTCTCAAAGGTTGTCATGAAACCTCTACAGACCTCACTCCGTGTGAGCACTCTCTTTTAGAGGGCTAGCTATGGCTGTCTCTGATAACTTAGTATACAGTACATTTAAGTGTTATGCTAGGTTCAGAAGATTGCTATGAAACTCATTTCCACATCTCATGCTCACAATTTGACTGGTTTCACTGCTGAAATATTTGATACATTGACCAATAATTTCTCATTCCTAAAAATGAACCAATACTAATCCAACTAGTGATTTCTATTAATGAACAAATGTCAGAATTATGAAATTGTGTTTTTTTAAAGTACTGGCTTGTGCTCTAGAGGCATGAACCACTATGGCTGTTCTTTTTTTTTTTTTTTTTTTTTTTTTTTTTTTTTTTTTTTTTTTGCTTGGCATCAAAAGACTTCTTAAGGATCCATCTCTGTTGGAGGATGTGAAGAGGAGTGAACAGGACCGTGCTGCACGAATGCAACAGCCACATGTTCGACACTAACTGTGAGTGGACACGTTTAAAACAGTTGATGGAAGAGGGGTTCTCTCAAGCCTAAAGTGTAGGATATACAATATAACAACAATCAAACTGATATCAACTCTATGGGCGGTCCGACATTCCCTAGAGGTGCACATTTCTGTAACTTCCAGTCTAGCGGAGGAATGGGTTTCTATCACCCCTAGGGAATAGAGGAGCTTTCATGATGTTTTGAGGAGTGTGTGGAGTTTTTTTTGTTTTGTTTTGTTTTTCTGAATCTGAGTGGAAGTTAGGAGCTGTCACTAGCAGAGCGCTTTTTGCCAAAATGACTGGCAGAGTCTCTGTTTCGCAGATTAGGCTGGATCTTGTACATATGGGGACCCATGGACCAGCGCCAGCTCCCACGGCCCTCCACTCCAGTTGGGATGGCAGCAGCTGCAGCCACAGCAGTGGATGGGCAGGGCTTGTTCTGCAGCAGCTGAATAAGCATGGTCATCTCTGGGCCCAGCCGTGACACCATGCTGGTCCGAACGCGATCCACTGTGTCCTCATCACAGTCCATCAGGCTCTGTAGCAGCTTACCATAAAACCTAGGACAACAAAGCAGCACAGAATGGATTTTAGGAGCTTGAACCCAAAAAAAAAAAGTGCGGCATGGCAAGAAATCTCTGTGCTCTGTAATGATTCAAATCTGCATGTCGCGTTTGTCTGTATTTGCACACGTGCTGTACGGTTTGAGGTCATCCATATGGGAGTAACCATCCTGGCTCCTGTCACTCCTGTCACTATAGGCTTCATGCTCCACCCTCCTATCCTTTTGTATCCACTCCCAAGCTGCAATCCTACATGCATTACAAAAACAATAGGAACGAAAACATCCAACCTTGATATTCCTGTTTGATTTTCTTTCATTGTAAGAAAGAATGTATAAAGCAGATGGTAACCAAAACATGGAAATCAATACAAATGTCGCCATCTGTTCTGCTGCATAAATCAGGGCTAAAGGGCCGTGTATTTGTGCATTTGTAATACGAACAGCACTCTGTGTCAATGTGTCTCTCATTCACTTAAAATGAACAGCAGATACATTCCACTGTCTTATTATCCATTCCTGGAGAACTGGGCTTTTGTTTTGCAGCCATCGCTCGTACAGTACACACAGTCGAGGAAGATCTCACCTATTGGGGAAGTGACTTGGTAGCTGTGCCACTTCACCAATAGCATCTGGATTAGATCGGGCCACAGTGCAGATGTCCAGCTTGCTGTAACACTCCTCCTGGACTTCAGATATCATTCTTTGGAAGGTGGAGCAGCGGCGGATGGTGGGGAATGCCTTGGAGGTGATGCCATTGGCAATGCACTTAAGGCTCTCCTTCACGAATGCTTTACCCTGTTAAACAAAACGAACAAGAGCAACGCTTCACAAATGTCTTGCCCGGACAGTTCCGCCCCGTGCATTCCCACACAGCTCATGTGCACAATAGAGAGAATGAAAATATATACCTGAGTGTCAAATTTAGCAGCACTGTATAGGAAGGACTTGCAGATGTCATGCATGCCATCTGTGTCACAAGTTGAGTTCTCCAGGCAGGCGAAGGCTCCGCAGCCAACTTGGAGGGCACTGTTGAGACAGCGTGCCACATCTGCTGTGGGCACAGAGAATGAACCATCAGCAGGGGAGCCAACAGTGGGTTCACTGGGAATCACTGCACACTCACTGAGCTCATTACACAAGGGTTGCCAGGGTTTCAGCTAAAAAATGCAGCGAACAAAAGAGAATTTTCATACTTTGGTGATTCACAAAAGACGTACAGTCACTCGGGGCAAACAGTGACTTGACTGGAGATTGGACACCTTACAGCTCTAAAAGTCTCAGACTCTATTTGGCACTACTGCACTTCTCTCTTGGCAGGGACTTATATTCCACTGTTTGGTTCTTTTCAGCAGCACTTGGATGAACAGCACCAGAAATACCAAAGAGTTTCCTGAAAATTGTTGGCGTGCCTGTAGACACACATAAACATACACACTTGTACCCCTCGTGCACACATACACACTAACATATACTGCCACCAGGCTCTGTCTTCCATTATTTCACACAAATTGTCAAACCGAATTTGAGGACCTTGCCTCTAAACTATTAACTAAGCACATGTCACATCTCAGCTAAACACCCAAAATTAATCCTATGCACAGCTACATAATGAAAATACACATTCAGAAATTGCTGCCATGCTCATTTCAGGAGTGTCACATGACTGGAATAGTTATTAGGATGATTAACCCACCAGCAACCCTGATCCCCATCTTTGTAAAAAACCCTCTCAAACAGCCACCCTGCAGCAGCATTCAGCCCTTCGATCCATGTGCCAAAAAAACTGAAAATCTCAGGCCATAGGGGACACAGCTCAAAGTCTATGCAGCCGGCTCGAAATTTTACACCAAGACAGAGCTATAAAACATAATCTGGAAATCAGTGTATCCAGATAGTTGGCTTTGCTCATTCTACATCCGAGAATCCACTGAAGATGGCAAGCAGCCCGACTCAAATCCTTTGTAATAACCATTAAGAAATGTCACCGAGGAGCCTAAGCCTACTTGGCAGCCTCTGAATCTGGGGCCCCATGTTGACCTGCACAGTCAGATAAAGTCTGCCTGCCATCAGGGACCAGAGATTGCTCTCAAAATACAGAGAGAGCGAGCAGCAAATCTTATGATGATGAAGCAATTCCTGCAGAAAGGGAACGAGCATCCCTTTTTACCCACTGAGCTGCGTCTTTGTGTTCAAGAGGAAAAAAAAAAAAGTCAACATTTGAATGGAGACATGCAGATCTGTGCCTTGCAGTGCAACGTTAGTACAAGGGATTCTCACTTCTTTTCTTTTGATGTGTCAACTAATAAGGGTTGCATGGATTTCTCCCAAAGGCACAGCCCCAGTGACAAGGCTGAAGGGAAAAAAGGTACAACGGTGTAACCTACTTCTTTCTCTGACTTCAAGGCTCCACAGGAGACACACACACACACACACACACACACACACACATGCAACGATGTGTTTTATTGCTCTGAAGTCCACTACAAGGCTGATTGGTGTAACGTATGCTGCAGCCAAAAGCTACGAGAAAGACACTAAACAGCATGACACAGCCTGCACTCTCAGGTGTCAGCACCAAGCTCCATGCTCATCTGTTGCCGGCAGGACACCGGCAAAAACCACAGCGTTAATCCCGCAGCCTTCTCCGTGAATCAATGCGCTCGTTTAGACAGAAAAGGCTGCATAGGCCAAAAAAAAAGAAAAAAGAAAAAATGAAATCTCCACAGAGTATGCGAGCAAATGTAAAGGCTGTGCAGTGTATGAACGGTGCGTAAAATTAAAAAAGAAAGAAAGAAAGCAAGCAGTGCACTCTAAGATATGCAGATGGAAGCAGCGTGTTACTTACAAGGGCTATTGGCAGAAAAGCGTGCTCTCCTGGGCGAATAGGACTCGTTCTGATCCAGTTCATATGCAGATGCATTCAGCACCATCAGGAGAAAAAGTCCGGTCCTCAAAGGCATCGTCCTCTCAACACAGATGATACAACTAAATGTAAAGAGACGCCTCCTGCTTTGTGTGTAATTCATAAGAAGGACGCTCCAAGAAAAAAAAAAAAAAAGAAAGAAAGAAAGAAAGAAAAAAAAACCTCGAGCAGCGCAGAAAAAGGAGAAAGAAAAAAAACAACAACAACAAAAAAAAAGCCCCCCCAAAAAAAACAGAATAAATGTGGGCTATAACAAGTAGGCTGCCGGCAATTTTCTCTACACTGGACTCCTCACTATCCTTTTGACTTGCATGACAGATCGCACCGATGTCAAGTCTGCACGGGTTTATATGGGGGCGCTGAATATTACGAGTTCTGCGCTTGGACCAATCAGGACGCAGCATTGGTGGCCGTGGTCCTGCTCGCTCCACTACTAATTGATAAAATGATGAACGGTGGAGATGTTGCTGCTTCACGGCCATTATTGGGCGTCATTTTGTGTAATAATCTAATATATATATCTAAACTAATAGTTTTCCTTTTGCTTCTTTTTGTGTTAGTGGTTATTTGCAAAAAAATGCAGTTTCACCTTTTTCATCCATTTTCAGCTTAAATTGCAACTCGCATCATTGCTGAGCATCTATGAGCATTAATCATCACCTGATCCCTGACTTTGACGCATGGAATAAATTGGTAAACGGTCGAGCTGCTGAAAAGAATGTACATTAAAATAAATGGGTTTTTTTCTGACTGTCCTGTATGCTGATTTGCATGAAAGCATGCTTGCGTAAAGGTAAAAGTAAGGGACTGTATGAAAATTATTTGTTAAGCACAGAAGGAAGTATTTCATTTCTTATGCTGGGTTAAAATGAGACTGAATACAAAACAAGATCAAATGGTTAAATTGAAAATAGTAATTTTACCATCACAACCATATACGGTTTCCAAGAGAGCTTTATTGTATGTAGAAGCCAGTGATCCCTACTTATTAAGATACATTATTTTCCCCATCACGATTATATGTACTGTAAAAAATAATAAAATACCCTGTAAAAATGTGGAATATTGTAATGATCAAAAGCTGTTCAAAAATTGAAAATATCTATAACAATTATTGTATTTTAAGCTGAATTACTGTGTATTTTTATCGTCACACATTGTAAGAGAACAAGTAAGTTTTTGTAAAACAACTGATTTTTGATGTGGAAATTTTGTACAGTTTTGGCCTTTTTGAAAAAAAATGTAAACAGCATGATTTACTAGATAATAGTAATTTAACAAAACGAAAAATCAGTAAAATAACAGGAAAATTGAATAGAATAGTACAAAATTAGAAACTGTTCATGTTTACTGTGTAGTTGCTAGAAGAAATGTCCCCACAAATTACATTGCTGTGCAAAAAAATTTGATTGATGTTTGAGGTGAATGTATTTCTTGCCGGATTATGTTTGTTTGTAACTTAAAATAAGTTTCTAATGAACATACCAGTGGCATTTATTTTATTGTTCTATAGCCACTCCTTTCTAATATGCAGTTGTAGTATTTGTTGTGAAAGTTTCAACCAAAGCGGGAAATTTCCCTAAAGCTAACCAAACAGCAAACACAGTGAGTAAAAACGAAACCTAACATTAAGACAAATCGACCTGTCAGGACATGAAACCTGGTCTCCTGACTGAGGGTTGTGACCTCAACGGTTAGAAAAAAATACCTTTATTTCAAAACAATATTATACATTTCCTTCAAAATGTAATTGAGAATGCAGTTTAGTTGTATAGAAACATACATTTGTTTGGACAGAATTGGCTACTTTTGTGAAACACGACAAGCTATCTTATATATATAACATCCTTTCACTGTAAACAAAATATTATTTTTCACTCCCTAAATTGCGCATCATGTATCACTAATTTATTTTGCTAGTGTAGCATTGATTAACGTTAGCTGTTAAGTCACTGAGTCTACTTCCAGTCATAGGTGACTAACAGCAGTTGCAGTGTCTTTCCCAAATACCATCATCTGAGCATTGTTCACAGAGCAGCAATGACAGACACATCGGTTCCCTGTATACAGCTAATCGCACCGCCCAATTCATGAACCATGAATAAAATCATGTAAAAAAAAACAGAAGTAGATCATCTTCAAAACAGATTTTAAACTTGGAAGTCACAGTTTTATCTGAGCTGTTTTATTGTTGCTCATATAGGCCCATAACTGCAGAACTAGAACACACATTATCTTGAATATACACATCCGTCATCGACCAAATTGTTACCAAGGCCTGTGGAGCTCTGTTTATACACACAACATTGTGCCCGTAACTAAATGTCATAAATTTGCCTGTAATTTCCCTGCTTTTCATGTGGTTATTGGTGCCTCTTGTTATTCCATTACACAGGCATTAATGTCATAAGTGTGCACCATTATTTTTTATGTTTTGCTTCTCAGTCAAGGGCAGGATTCAAAGAAAAATATCAATACCACTGGGACGGGTCTTGCTTTCCTTTAAAAAAAAAGGAACATGAGCGTCAAGCCTCTCCTCCGCCCCAAATAATTTTTCTACGGTCCCAAAGATCAACAAATGCTAAGCCCTTAAGCACACTCATGGACCAAAGTGTATTTAATCAACCAGTTTTTTAGTCAAATGTGGTGCATACTTTACCAGAGTTAAACAGCTTTGTCCAAATATCAACTCAGGACATTCAAATGACACGTCTTCTTTATCACTCTGACATTTTCCTGAACCATGCTTAATGATGACAGTATTGTTGCTTTAGCTTAGCGGATCTACTTAACGCAGAGATAAACTAGCTGCGTTGTTGATACAAAGCGTGGACAACCGCTGCAGGCTTATTTTTCCTCTTACTGAAATTGCAGAATGTTGGTTAGGAGTCCGCTAAGTTGCAGCTGCACGTGCCGTCGTACAGAGGATGATGTGTGGGACTCTAAGCTATCATTTATCACTGAGGCCTCACGCCTCTTCACCCAGTGCACCGCTCAAGCATTTCAGACAGAATCAGACACTGGGAAGCTGAAAATGTCCCGATAATCAGAGTGTGGGAGATTTAAACGTCTTTACAGCAGCGACTAGCTTCCCGTTCGCTCTCTCTCTCCTCTTGTCGCATGTGCATTTCATTAGAAGGTGTCTCTCTGTGCCAAGCCTAAATTGTCACATTAAGAAACAGATGTCGCATATTTTCCTTGCATCTTCTGTCAAATAACTTGACCTTTCCTTTGCATTTCAGAGAACAGAACATGCCTCTTCGTCTCGCTCCGCTGTTTTCTGGTTGTCTTTAGCAATCATTGTGCTTTCACTCTAATTTCTCCCAGAGCATTGTCAGGAGTTGGGCATGATGTCAAACTGTTGGCACCTTTTCTCTGCTGGGGAATCCAAATGTGGACCGGTGCCAGCTGCACCAATAGCCTTGGTAATGGCAAGATAATCTATATTTAACGGCCTAATGAATGAGCTATTATCAACTGTCACAGCCGATCATTATCAACATCCTGAGAGCCATATGTTACATGTTGGACATGTGATTTATTTATTTATTTTTCCACAATTTGGATACATTAAACTGTGACCATAAAAACTGAGGAATGTCTTTCAATTTACTTCACTGCTGGAGGATTTGTCCTTGATGATGCCACTATTTAGACATCCTTAATCCTTTTTTCTATTTCAAAGAAGAGAAACAAGAATTTAGATTGAAGCATAAATGTTTTACTTTTAGCATCTCATTCTGTTACAGTAAAGTTTCCAAAATGATGACTGGCTCTCTTTGCTACAAATTAGGAGTTAAAAAAAAAAAAAAAAAAAAGCTGTATGTGAAAGACCAGGCTGCTTGCTTATACTGGTTATGTCAGCGCTCCAAGAAAAGAAAAAAGAAAAAGAAAAACTGAAGCAAACAACAATGCGAACAATGTAAGATTTGAGACAGATGTTGAGCTGATATTCATGCTTTCCATGAATATGTTGCTGCTCTTGCATTTATTGTTTCCCCATTCTTTTTTTTTTTCAACTCAAGTGGGTGGGTGGGGTGGGGGGGGGGTTTGGTGCGCCTCAGCTGAAACTGAAGACGTGAAATGAGAGTTTATTCATGAGTTTGGAAGTCAGTCTCATCCTTGTTAGCACATCACTGCACCCTCTTCCTTTTTGGAGCGTAGCCATACCACAAACACATTTGAGAAGACAACTTGTGCGTCCTCTGGGGGGGAAAGGATAATGAATTCCTTTGTCAGGTAGAAGAAGGTGATTCACCTTGTTTTCAGAAATATAACAGACAACACTGGCATGGCGCTGGAGATAGAGGGCAGAGTTCACTGAAAGGACAAATCCGTTACAGAGAATAAACACACTGTAGAAAGGGCCCTGCTGCAGCATCAGGGTTTTGCATTCATTTCCATTGAGGTGGATGAACTGATTCTCTGATTGGAGGTCACTTTGCATCTAAGTTGAATTTCGCCCTAAGCTTATTGCTGTTTGCCTGACAGCAACTTCCTCTATAATTATAAGATTACGAGATTGCTAATTACGAGCGAGAGATTTGAAATTAGTGTAATAAATGGGAGTTTGATCTTTCATCAAGTACAAGCAAATTAGTTACAAATATGTCGGCGCTAAAGCTTTTTAACGAGTTTATATAATGAGTTGTAGAAAAGCACTTGCAAGGAGTCACCTGAAGGACAGTGCTAGACTTCTTGTGTCCACAAGAGGGACTTTGGCCAGATGCTACTGACTTGCATGAGCTGTAAGTGTAATGCAACACCTATAAAAACTCAGGCTTTTCTGGTATATTGGACCGATAGAGAGCAGAGCTTATGATTTATGAGATTTAAGAGAGATGGAAAGGACACCCTGCTGCTGGATTATAGTTACAACACTTGCCCACATGTAAAAGCAGTAAATGCTGATGTATTTGCACCTACATTCAGAGTTATGTGTGTGTCTTGACGTGTGATGTTTGGCCAGGGGGATAATGTGTTTTTCTCTCTAGCAGCAGATGCTTGTAGTATTCACATGAGAATAACACTTAATTTTTGGAGAAATAGACACAGCACCCAGCGGTGCCATCAGCCGTCAGAAGACACCCTCGACTGTAAAAGAGAATTTTAAATTTGTAGAATAGGGTTCAAATAAATACACATCCTACAATAAAGCTCTGCAGA